TCTTTGCACATCAGGTTCTTCTTTGGATCAGAAAAAATATGTTGCAATTCGAAATTGTGGAACAAGCAACACATTTTCCAAATGCCTCGTCGATTTATACACATTTGCACACACTTTGCACTTTCTCGAAAAGTCTGGTGAAATTGGATTGAATATTATGTAAAATGATTTGCATGCAACACACACTTTGCTTAATAAATCATCAAAATGTAGTTTGTTGCACATCTTGTGCAGACACCAGTTGATGTGTTGCACTACCCGTTACAAATTGCATCGCAATCAACACGTGTGTGATTTGCAGTTGATGGATACTTTGACAGTTGATACACTTTCGTTGGTTTGTTTCACACTCAGCACAATTTGTGTTACTAGCTTAACAAGTATAACAATTATTTGTGATTGATGATGTTAGAACATATCCACTTTTGCACCCAGTGAATATTCCTGTTGTTGTGTCACATTTAACACGACGTTTTGAGTCACATTTCTTACATTTGAAGTCGCCAGACGTCTTTGAATAAAACTCTGCTTTGCAGACACTACATTTTTTGTTGAGTCTGATAAGCAAGTAATGCAGTTGACGTTAATTGTCGAACAGCTCTCACATTAGTCGGTTTTTGTGCTTTGAAACACGATATATTTGTAACACACTGATTGTAAATCCCATTATTGAAGGGTTTGTTCTTATCTTTACAAGTTAGACACTTTCTCTCCATTGGAAGCACGTGTCTGACAATTGGAATCAAATGTTGACACAATTCACATTTAAACGAATTTCCATCAAGTTTTAAATTGTTACCAAATTTATATGAAGTACAATTCTCATATTGTTTATCACAATTGTTTCCACGTGTCTCATCTCATTGTTAACAAATAAATGGTGAAACAGATTGTGGGTAATAACCAGGTTTACATTTTAAGCATTTTCTTGATGTTTTTGAGCTCGTTTCACATTTTAAATCGAATTCAAAACATAACCATACTCTGGATTTGAATTTGTTATCATAGTTTATTTATCAGCACATGTTCGACATATTCCTATAAATGTTTCTAAACCATTCAATTCACACATTGAAAAACATTTGGTACACATGTTTATCGAAGAGTCAATATGAATAGAATATATATTTTTATAGAGAGCACTAAGGCCAATGCTGCGAGGTTTCTATTTTCAGAATTTTGTTTCCGAGTTCAATTCCCGGTTATACATTTTATAACAAAAAAACAAGAACATAAACTAAAAAACGGTGATAATAAAACTGATAAAAAATCAATAACAAAAACCAATGACACAAATCTCTACAGTGTCGGTTTTTGTTTTCAAATCAACTTCCACAATTTGTATTAAAATCGAGAATCACAAAAAATAATATATTTTAACACTTTAAAACGTGTTAACACATATATCGACATTATAATATTTTGCTTTTTTTTAAATATTATTAAAAAAGTTGTGTATTTCCAAAAATATTATAATTGGTTTATTACAAAAACAAAGTAGTTTTTGATTTGGTTATATAATAAATGAAAAATAATTATTTAAATTAAACTTATGTCACTAAAACATTAGGCATTTATTTTATAATATTAAAAAGGCCCCGTAGCACAGTCGGTAGTGCATCGTACTTATAGAATAGAGTTATGCGAGGGTCGCGGGTTCGATCCCCGCCAGGACCATTTTTATCATCGATATATTAGTCTGTTGAAAATCCCAATTCAAAACTATTTCATTATTTAAAGTATAAATAGATAATAAGTATCTTTTGAACAATTACAATTTAATATCAAAAAGAAGTTTT